ATGGGTCATTTTAAAAAAATTTTGTAAAGGGCAAAAATTATAGAGAATAACATTAAAAGCAATTTTTATTTAAATAATTTTCTTTTCCAATCGAAAATAACAGATATATTCCATAAAATAGAAACACGACCTTTTATATAGTACCCCCTAGATGTTCCGACTATGCCCAAAATCGAGAACTCGAGGTCGAAAAAAATCAGTGATTTCTATAATTTCCATATTTGTATACAGACAGGAAAGTAAACAAGTTAAATGTTACTAATGGATTTAGGTGGAAGAACAAGGTGCCATATATGTATTTGCAATATATACAGGGTTGGGCATAATTGGAGGAAAACTTATATTGGACAAGTAACAAAAAATGCTAGGATAGATCAATTTTGTTTTTTAGATTTGTATTTTTTGGTATACGTATATTTTTTACAGTATCAGTTGGAAGCGCACATTTTTTCGCGAATGGACACCTAATTTCGTGATTTGTTACATAACAATATTTTTGAGAAAAAATTGATATAAACCGTTATTTAACATTCCTAACAATGACTAAAAACTTTTCCCGAAAATATTGATATGTAACATATCACGAAAGGCGTCCTTTGTAAAATGAGCTCTTTTATTTTGTTCTGTCAAAAAGAGTGTTGCCATTTGAAAAATCTGGTAATGACGTCATATCAAATGTACGTCTATAAAACAAATTCAACCTGTAGGAGTATTTTTTGCTACTTGTCCAATAAAGCCAGGAATATGATGTCCCGCCAATTATTGAAATTAAAAGTTCAAAATAAAATCTAAAAATTCCATAGTTTTAAAATTGATAAGATATTATAAGACTTATCTAAAACTCTTCAACGCAAATAGTTCTTCTAATTTTTAGACAAAGGATAATTTTTCAGCACAAAGAAGGTCTTACTAAAATGAACTAATAGATTTAATTGGCTGTAATCGTAGAGGGAGTCAAAATAAAACTGTGACGTGGCAAATAATTATTTCTAGAATCTGTTTCAATAGTAAAGAATGCCATTACGTCACAGCAATATGCGTAAAAGTGTCGTCATAGTCAGTACCATGTTAGCGCCATATTGTAAATTTGATGGTGGGACTTTAAACCAGTGGCGTAACTATTTCAAAGTTGTAGGTCAACACAAAGTTAATTTGTCAAACATATTTGATAAATGTAGTATTTTATTAAGTAATTGTCACTTAAAATTATCCAAGTAACACAAAAAGTTATACATATAAGGGTTATACCGACGTTGCAACAACGTTTCTTAAAACTCAACAACTTACATATTCTAATACACTATACTGTTATTATACAGTGAGCATCATAAGTCTTACCCCCCTTATCTAACTCGTTACTGGAGTCTTATTAGGAAAATCGCCGAGACACGTCGATTTTTGATTTCTGCAGTGTACATTTTTGTATGAATAGTTTACCCTTAATTTCATCCCTTACTAAAGGGGAGCAACCCTTTCGAAAAATTTAAATGGCCTGGGGTGGTGAGTGATAGCTCATTTGAAAGGGGGTTTTATTCTCTATTCAACCGTGCAAAAAAAAATTAAATTTGCTTCATTAATTCTCGACTAATTATTGTTTCAGAATAACGTAAATTAACGTAGCGCACTCATCCTTAGAATTAAAATTCGGCCCTGCATGATATCGGTTTTGGTTCAGACGTGAAGTAAGACTTTTTGGCATTAGATAAGGTCACTGTTAGTTAAGTTCCTCTCCTATTTGTGATGTTTTGTTATTTTTAAACATTAATAAATCGACACGTAATAAATCAAATTTCAAAAATGTTTACACGGTTGAATAGAGAATAAAACCCCCTTTCAAATGAGCTATCACTCACCACCCCATGCCATTTAAATTTTTCGAAAGGGTTGCTCCTTTTCAGTAAGGGATGAAATTAAGGGTAAACTATTCATACAAAAATGTACATTGTAGAAATCAAAAATCGACGTGTCTCGGCTATTTTCCTAACAAGACTCCAGTAACGAGTTAGTTAGGGGGGGTAAGACTTATGATGCTCACCGTATATTATTATGCGACTTTTGGTGGATATATACAACCTAATAGTACACGTTTTACAGTAGTTGCTATAATACTCCAGTTATAACTAACTTATATCTTTATAAAAAGATGTTATTAGGTAATTACAAATGGATATAAAAACGTTGTTAAGAGTTGTTATGTTGTGATATAATTTGGTTTTATCTATAGACTATTATTTATATATCTAATGAAGACCAACAGGTATAAACATTTTAGAGTTACTTCTTACAAAATGACATTACATCATAAATATCTCATCGTATCTCACTAATGGCAACTAGGTAAACCTTAATAGTAAACTTACATTTTGTCTAAAAAGTTGGTGTAATCTACCTAAATTTTCTGACGAAACAAATTTTATGGAGTAACATTTAATTTTAGTTTGTAAAAATTAATGCGCCTTATCATTTTCTTAAAATAATGGTCTTTAAAATTTAATTGAAAAATTACAAAAAAAAAAAAAATTTCAAAATAATTGTTAATTTAAATAAAAACATATTAATATAATCTTATTTTGTCTACATATTGCAATTATAATACAGAATTAGATCCAAATTTCATTTTTTGTTTAATTTTACCAACATGGCGAATAAAACGGCTGAATCTTCTTATGGCCAAAAATTATATTATTATTATATAAGTTATATCAAAACTCGTTTATCACTGAGTTATAACACATTTTTATAGGTTATGCAATCGTTTAGGAGTATTTGAATCATTTCTAATATTGGTTTGCAAGGATTAATAAAAAGGATCAAATGAAAAGTACTTATTGTTTGCAAAACATGGTTTTAAGCCATAGAGTTAAATAATAATATACCATTGGGTTCTGGTCCCATAAAAACTATGTTCATTTTTCTGGGAGTTTGCAATGAGGTTCTTGCATCTTTTGGTAGTTGTTTCATTTTAATTGTGCATATAACTGGAATGGAACATGCTCATCTATACAGATAGCAGACAAGCACTACTCACCCTGAACAGACCACGAATTTATTCAGGGTTAGTACTAGAATGTCATGAACCTTTGGCCGAAGTATCCATCAACAATGTGGTCACCTTAAGATGGATCAAAGCTCACATCGAAAGGTAACCGTCTTGCCGATTCACTAGCCAAGAAAGCAGCCAATCAAATACTTTTTGGACCTGGCCCTTCTATTGGCCTGACAAAATCGGTAGTCACAGACCTAATTAAAGAACATTCCCTTGTGAAATTCAAGGAAAGATGGGGTGAAACAAGAAACTGCAGAGATGCCAGGGAGCTCTTAAGTTATCCTGACAACACTGCAGCAAACAAATACTTGACTATGACTAGACAGAATCTGCGTCTGATCACAGGCATTCTGACTGGTCATTGCCAAGTACGGAAGCATCTCCATATCATGGGGATGTCAGAATCCGCACTCTGCAGAGAGTGCGAACAAGAAGATGAGACCATCGAGCATATCCTTTACGATTGCTCGACGCTCTCATTTATTAGAAGATTTGTGTTTGGCGAGTATCGGCTAACACCGGCCGATATAAGAGAAGCACCTCTTGGCGACGTTGTCGACTACAATAAATCTGTAGGCTGGCTCACGAGCTAGGAGGTGCCTATTATCTTAGGAGGATGCACAATGGGCCTAATGAGGCCTAAGTGCCGTGGGGGTAACCCACCATGCGCACGTTACAGATACAGATTGGGCATATAATTATTCTCACTAATTTATTTACAAGTAACCTACTTTATTTTTTTTATTGCCCATACTTTTTGTTATTGGTCCCTATTTTCATGTCAATTTCTATGTTGCAATATTTCTTGGTCTTTATTAGTTGTTTCTTTTTATAACTATCTTAGAAATTATTGCAAGAAGCACAATTCCGAATATTACTGTTGAAAACAACGGATGGTTTTATCAAAGTATATTAACCGTTGAGTAGCGACAGCTGGGGAACCGAATTCTAGTGCGCCGACGCGAAATAGAGAGGCGAGACGTCTTCTAAAGATGTAAACAACCCCTTTCACTTTAGTCCGGCAGCTGATATAGGAATTCGTTGTTGTGGATTTATTAGTAAAAAATTGTATTCAGCGACATGTTTAAACAACGCGAAATTTAAAAGTTTGAGACAACTCGCTTAATAAATAAGAAGGTCCATAAGTAATAATTTTTATTGTTATCAAAAATCAAAACCCTGTGCACCTACCAACTTTCAAGTCTCTAGCTCATCCGGACCTAGGTAAAAAAATTGAAATTTATCAATAGTGATATATATTTTTATATTTCTTACATACGTTAAATACTCATAAATATAAAACTGCCTAATGACCAAACCTTTATTATAAATGTAAACTACAAAAGAGTTTTACTTCAAATTACGTCGAGCAGTGTAAACATCACATTCAAGACCAGTTCATAATTCGAGCAGTGTTTTAGTGTGTCGTTCCGTCAATAACGTCAAAAGAGAGAGAAAGAAAATTTGCACCACCCAAGATCAAAGGCACCGACGCTTTATGTCGCTACTCAACGGTTAATATACTTTGGTTTTATTGTCTAGGTAAATACTGCGGATCTGTGTTTGAAATGTTCTCATTTTTTTTTTTATTTCTTGAAGTACTTTGATGCGTCCAGTTAAAATAGTTTTTTTACATCTATAAGAGCCACCTCTTTTTCGGAAACATGATAATTCTCTTCTAAAATTTATAAAGCAGTTATTCCTCTAACTCCTAACCTCAGAAAGATAATAATACATTCTAGGAATACAATATTATACACATTTAACCATGGGCGCCCGCAGACAGGGGCAAGGGGGGGCAGTTGCCCCCCCTGCAATTTCCAAAAAAAAAACAGACTTTTTGCAAAAACACTTTAATAATTTTTAAATAAAAGTACACAGTTAAGGTGAACACAAATAAACATAAACATACATGATAACAAACAAATCCTTAAAGGTTATCTTAAACATATACCTACTTAAATAGAAACTGTAGCCTTCTGGGTACTGATGCAAATTTATTAACTACTTCATTTACGAAATTTTCATCTTCTTTTACCATTTCTCGGTGCACACTTAGCATGCACAGTCCAGAAAGTCTATCTTCACAAATTGTTGACCTTAACCATGTTTTTACGCGCCGCAGTGTGCTAAACGATCTTTCAATAGAACATGTTGTTGGTGGTAAGGTAAGTCCAATTTTTATTGCTTCTTTCACGGATGGAAAAAAATCGCACTTATTTAATAAATCTATGTATTCCGTGGTGGCAATACTTTCGTCGTTGCTATTTACGTTATACCACAGCACAGCCTCAGCATCAAAGTTGTCTAAAAACTGCCCATACATTTTCTTTATGTTATTTATTATGAATATAAATTCATCTTTGTTCAACTGTTTTAAATATTTCGGATGCAATTTAAAAAGTGAGAAAGGTGCGTCTTTTTCTTCTGAAAACCTTTCACTTAATGATACCAAGAGAGAATCCAAATATGGCAAAAAAATCGAGATTCGGTAATATTCCTCTGGTGAACTTGATTTTGCTTGATAGTTTGCTCGGCATGTTTGTTTACCGGCCAATCGAGGAACGGTCAATTCAAAACCACATGCATTCGCTATTTTCACAGCATCTTCATATATTGAATGGAAAACCGACTCAGCATCATGTCTGTGTTTTTTGACTTCTGTAAAGTCGCCTATAAATTTTTTAACTGCAAACAAATCAATGTCTATTCCTTGCAACATGTTAGCAACTGGTTCTAGCATAGCCGAATACTTTGATATAATGTTTAATGAAATAACGAAACAAGAAGAAGTTGTTGTTGTAAATAGCTGAAAAGCTCGTGCTCTGGTATTACCAGTTGATGCTTTTTGTAAATCATCTAAAGCGTGAATAATGTTTAAAAATATTTCGTTGAATTGCCGTATACTTTTATACTTTGCAGACCATCGGGTTTCACACAGTAAGGGCATGGATTTTTCTATTGATTTGCGTCTTAATGGCGATTCACGAAAAAATTTTATTGTCTCTTTAATGGTGCCTACTGTATTTCGTATTTCCGCTATGCTGTTTAAATCATTTATAACAAGATTTAATTTATGGGAGGAGCAGTGAAAAAACTGAGCTTGGGGGTACTGTTCCTGAATAATTTTATGAACACCTCCGATTTGTCCAGCCATTGTTGAACAACCGTCATAACCTTGACCTACAATATTTTCCAAATTTAATCCCCATTTTTGTAAATTTTCGACGATGGCATGTGAAATTGACTTGGCATCCATTGCCACAAGAGGCACATATCCCAAAAATTCTTCTTTTATGTAATATTTATTTGCATCATCACATTCTACAAAACGAACGCCAATAGACAACTGTTCTACACCACTGATGTCTGCTGTTTCGTCGGCTAGTACACTGAAATATTTAGCCTTGTTGACGCGCCATACAATTTTTTCTCTTAAAATTTCACAACTGAAGTTTATAAATTCATTTTGAATTCTGTGTGAGATATATTTTGCATTTTTAGCAGCTGTCATAAGATGAGATCTTAAGACTTCGTCGCCTGCTTCAGCTCGAAAGTCTAGAAGATTGTTAAATATTGCCCTTTGATCTATTTTACCGCGTAACGGAATATCGTGGACTGCCAGAAACAAAATTGTTTTAACAATAGAATGAAGTTTATTCCTGTTCAAGTCAATTTCTTTTTGTAAAGCCGTATCTAACATATGTGTTACGATTCTGTCATTATTTTTTGCACTGTTAATAAATGCCATTGATTTTTCAGTAGCATTAATATGCCACGTACTTTTCATGTGCTTTTTCGTATGTTCGTGAAAATTCTTGTACTTAACGAAAGGCTTTTCAATGAAAGAACCTTGAAATCCCCTTTTTACTGGAGGTTTAAATAAAACACAATTACGGCAAAAAATCCCCTTACATTTTGCAGAATACGTTAAGACTGGGAACTCTTTTAGCCATTCGAGCCGAAATGCCCGTTTTCCATCACCTACATCTAATTTAAAATCATAGTTACTGGCCGGTAACCAAGGATCTGTCAACAGTTTCAAACGAATATCATCACTTACAGTACTACAGTTAACGAAATTTCCGATATCAAACTGGGAATGCGCAATAATGCTAGTTGAAGATGACGACGGCGACGAGCATGGGGTCTGAGTAAGTATTTCTGCAGGCTGATGTTTTTTGACTCTGCTTACACTAGTTGACGTCGCTGAAGCAGAAGCAGTTGCAGTGACCGCGTCTTGATTACTGATAGTGTCTTTACCATCGCCATCGCTTAACTTCTGCCTTTTAAAATAATTTCTAATATCCATTTCGTATTTATATTTTCTACCTACATTAATTCCGCGTTAATTTTCAATCTGCATTAAGGGTATAAAGTCTTACCTGCTCTTGAACTCAGTTAGTTGAGCAATATGGTGGTTATAATATGTAGTACTTAAAACAAGCGAACTGTCAGCGCCTTAGACTTAGGCTTCAAATCTGTATATACTAAACTGGTCTGTACTGGACTGACCGACTCACAATACCACGACATCCCCCAGCCAGGTGCATTGGCGTCTACCCTGCGTGTTCGCTTGCGATCGCCCGATTGCCGATCTCCGATCTTCATCGGCCAACGACCAACAAGCATCGGCACACGGAACCCGATATAGTCGGCGGCACAGATAAATTGTACCATTAGGCAATTATATTTAATCCTGGAATCGTAAAATTTATTTATGTCACAAACTTATACATAGAGAACCTATTTCTTGCAACTTGATTTTATAATTTTTAAATTCTGACTTTCTGTTTAGAAATATTTAATTTGGGTTAAGGTTTAGGGTGCTATCACATGGACCTTTCCATTCGAATATGTCAACACGGAAGGGAATGTTTTTTGGAGCGATCTTTTTTAACCGATTCCATTTGGATTTCTCTAAACCCCTTGTATCACATGGAGAGTTTTTTTCGGAACGAAATTGAGCAATTGTATTGCAGAAACTGAATTAAAAATTAAACAAAAACAATTGGATCATTAAAAATGTGTTTTATTTTCGATTTAAGCTTGTTTTGCATAAGGTAAATAAAATATCTTTGACAAAAATAACATGGCCCTCTTTACAATTTATTAACTATTTCTCATTTATCACTAAAATAAACAAATCATAATTAATACATTTTAATTACTGTCAAAAGAGATTGCAACAAACTTTAAATCCACTGATTTTTTGTAAATTTTTGTAACATCTCCATTACATAAACCTTACTCAGAATAATAGATAAATGTCCAATTACAACTCTTAACAAAGGTATTTATTATCTCATATCAAAGTTGTTTACATTAAATTTAAAAGTTGTATTACATATTGAAATGATGTGTTTCATATAGTGTTATTTCTGAAATTAGAGTGGTGTAAAATTATTTACATTCATCTGTTATAAAAATTGTTTAGATCTCTTAATATTATTTAACTACACGGAAACTCAACTTTCAAAATACATAGTAACGTGTCTTGAAGTAAAACTTTAATTATTTTTTTCTTCTAAATATTAAAATGCTAAATTTTATTTTAAAACGCATTTGGGCTAGAACGGCACTAGGAAAGGCAATACATCAATACGCTTTTCGTAATCTTTTTTATAGGTGGATGAGGAATCTATATAATTATGCATATACATTAGGTGTCTCATAAACGTCAAAAGTGGTTGAATGACATTTCGACTGACATAAAGCTAAAAAGAATTATTATTATTATTATTCTCAATCTTTTTTTATTAATTTACATTTTTTAAACGTTATTGTAATACTTTTAAATTGAGTGTTACTTAAATACCAATATTTTGACATTGGATACACTTGCTTAAGGTACAACTTTTCAATTTATTGTCACTTAGCCATTTAATTTTTTTTGCTCAAAATGTATATATATATATATATATATATATATATATATATATATATATATATAGGTTCAGATTTTAATAATTTTTCACATTTTACATCATATTGACCATGTATATGATTGTTTGTTACGGGCCGGTATCTATATTTAACTATATTTCATATTTTAAAAAATATCCTGTATTAATTACCTGCAATGTTTACCCCAATTAATTCTAAAATTAAACACTAGAGAGGGCTACCTTCGGCAGTAGTGCTGCCTCTATATTTCACGCACGGTCCCTATATCAGTTATAAAAATTTAAATTATTTAACGTGTTGTTTACGTGTGTTTTGTAATGTTTTAATCAATTATACCAACATTTTATAACTTTGTGTTGTTACTTGAGTAAATTGTAATTCAAAAAATCGGTTAAGTATTTTACCCAGAACTTCCCTCGATATTGAAATTGTAGAAACAGGGAACTCCTAAGTACTTAAATTTTAATAATTTAAAATAAAACCACCAAACCAAAAACAGTTCATCGTTATTGTAGAACAATGATTGACTGCTTGTAATATAGTCGAGTTACACAAACCAAAAGAACGCTTTTTATTATTTCCTTTTAATGCCATTTTGAATTTTTAAAAACCTAGGATCTATTATCGTTGACTTCTCAGATACCAATTTTAGTCAAAACCTGTCGACTTTTAAAAAACTGCTCACCTTGTATATAACTGACAAGAAGTATAACTAATTTTGAGCCAGAAAGGAACCTTTTCTGCATAAAAAATTTATTTTTCTATAAAGCCTCTTTTCGAGGGAAATAAAAAGAAAGTGTTTTAAGCAAATTTAAACTGATAATTAAATTTAGCATGTTTTTTAGAAGATTGGTATAAAATTTTTGTAATCTTTAGCGATAATAATAATAATATGATAAATCAAATAGAAGTTTTGTTGAAGCAATTAACCTTCTATATAATATTTTAAACAAGAGAAGAAGAAAAAGTGAAAGAAAGAGTAAGAGATTTACTTTGTTGCCTTGATGAGACGATGGGGTCTTCAGCTGTAAACAGAAAGAGGCGGTTTGGTCTGATCCTAATGACCTTTAGCCTTCTAGGTTCATCATCGCTAGAATACTCATTTATATGATAATGTTAGTGATCCATAATCGCAAAATTGTTTTAATTTTTAAAAATTCTACAGTAACAGTAAAAAAAATAGAGGTTAGAAACTGATCATTAATTCGTTCTATCCATTGACTTAATTCAAAGTTAACTTTAAAATTCAATGAACAATCTAAAAACACCTAAATTGTCTTAAGTTCTAATTAATTTCTAATTAGACGTTTAATGAATGATTGAAAACTCGTCTGTTAGATTTATGAATGCTTGGGGAAGGCTTAAGATGTTATCAATGATACCGCTGTACACTTTATACTATTGAAATTTTGTCCATTATTATGGCAGTTAAAGTGTTAAATGCAAAATGACGAAAAACGATCTTTAAATGTACGTATACGTTATATACTGGTAAATTTTATATAAAATCAATAGTAGATTTGGGCGAAAAATCTACTCTACTTTTTATTTATTTTAGTAATTATTTATAATGTTCCAGTTTTTGGTTTTATATTTTTAATAATCAGATAATTTATTTTTGCAAGAAGTTAAAATGATTCAAAATACGGTCCACCCTCCCCCCAATAAAAAAATTCCTGAGTGAAGTGCTTTTATTAACGAAAAAAATTCATACCTCCTGGTTATTGTTTCCTTCTTCGTAAAACTTCTTCAAAAATTCGCTGATATCCTCGACATCTTCCACGCATCCCATACTGTTTTCCCTTTGTCTCGTTTCAATGTCAGCCTGCATCCTTCTTAGTCCTTCTTCGATAACGTGTAGATTGTTATGGAAGTTTCTTCTTCTCTTTGTGATGCTGCTCCACAACCATAGACCCAGAAATATGCAAATCGTCAGCCATACACTAAATCCCATGTTCATTACTCCGTTTCCAGTGGTATCCATTCTGCGGTAGTTTACTTTAATCTCTCGCAAACTCAAACTTTTGGATTAAATGAAGATTAAAATTTTAAGTAGATAAAGAATAAAGATAAATTAGGTACCTGCAGTTCCTTGGTGATATTGTTAAAACTTGTTGATAACTTTCTCCCGATAATACCAATGATTTAATTTTAATTCATATATCTCAGGTTCAGAGGTGGATTCATGAAAAATGTGCCACACTGTATAGATCTATTAATCGTAACACCTTGCGGTTTCACTGATAGCTTCAACATTAATATCGTGTTTGAGAAAAGCCTAGGTAGGTATTAGAAAGATTTAACTACCTATATAAAACAAATCTACACTGATGTTACGTTTTGAAGTGATGTCGACTTCGTGAACTTACTTTATGGAGCAATAAAGGTGATACACGTCAGAAAATATCGATATTTAATAAATATTTGATGAAAATTATAGTATATACTCCGTTAGAGATAATCAGGTCAGTTTAGACGCTATTAATTTTTTATCAGGATTTCGATTGTATCGGGTATTTGAAAGAATTGATTGTACTTCCAAAATGAAGTAATGAAGAAGATTTGAAGAAGGCGTATGACAGAGTTAGATACTAGTGAAGTATTTTGTATGCGCCAGTGAAAATATTAAGCAAATTAATAAGTGCTTTTATTGGAAATATAGTAATATTGACATTAAGACAAGTAATTATTTCTGCAAATGTGGTTTTCAAAAAGTTTAGTTACAGAATACTTCAGACAGCAGCGCCAATTCGTTTAGGTACTATTTCTACATATACTGACAAATACAATTTTTAATAGAATTCGTAATTAAAAAGTAGGTATATGTTAGTTTTAATAAAAGTATATGGATTTGTAAAACATTAATTTATTATTATTATATATTTTTATCGCTTAAATTAAAAAAAATAAGTCTAATCAATAAAAATCAATAATAAAATATAGGCAGGCAACAGTATTTACTGGAAAATGTATGAGAAGTTGCCTAAGTCTAATAAGTTGTCTTTGAAGAATTAACGTCAAAATAAAAAATACCATTAAACAATAGCGTGAAGTTAAAATGTATAAAAGAAGGATCGTTATTTATATTTTCATTTTTGTTCGAAATAAAACATAGAATGAATGATTAAACCTGGTTTCCCATCAGTAAGTCACAAAATTGCATTCCAGCCACATACAATAATCAAAGGCAGACATCTTGAAATCTAGTCCTTGCTGAATGAACATTTAAGAATAAAGGGATGTTGAAGAACATCGTAAAATGAAAATTTATTGTTCATTTATAAGCTTTCAAGTTTCTGATGTCTACTATTTCCAGTATTACTGTTATTATTACAAAAATAAAGGTAATTTTTCTTCTTATGGTACACACCTATCCACTTATTTCTTTGATTTAATTTCCACTTTGCTACTGAAATTTTTTTATAATTTTCACTGTTTTTTTTGCTAGTATTTGTACAATTTTCAACACAGCAACTCCGGTTGCTTATTGTATTGTTTTTACCTACTTTTTTGAAAAAAAGTAAAATGTATACGTGTATTTGATATTACAAAATATCGCCCTAAAAATGCACGAATTATCCGCAGCTAGTGCTACTATCGCTTTTGCTTCCCCTACCATGACTTCGCACTGAGCAGAGTGATCCAAGACATAAATCTAGCCATTTTACCTATAGATTTTCCGTAGAGACAGCAAGTATTGTTTATTTGTATTCACAATTATTACTCATTGATAATAATCAGTAAGGTATAAATATTCGATGAGTTTAGATACTTTGAGATACATTTAAAAAAATATATTATTTTTTCTAATTTTGACATATAAAATGACATTTTTTTGTAATCCCAGCAAGTGTCAAAATGATCTACTTTGAGCAACCAGTTGCATAATGTTGAACATTATGAAACTGGTTACAAAACATTTATTATGTTCCCAGTTGCGAAAAGAAAAGAAAAATAAACCTTTGGTGGTTTTAAAATCAATATAATATACATTATTAAAGTTTATATCAAAGAACAGCAAGTATAAAAAATAAAATTAGGTTAATTTTATAACCTAGTTATAATGTTTTAGTTCTTGTTTTACATTCTCAATCAGCCAAAAATAATTAAAACATAACCCCCTTTTTTGAAAACTAAATAACTGTAATAAGCAATATAAACACAATACAAGTCGTTGAGTATAAATAATTAATGATGTTCTATTTGTCAATAAAATGATGCATATGCAAGTAACAATACAAGAAAGTAATATTGGTTTCCTATATGTCAGTAATGTTTCACCAAAACACAATTTTATAAATAATCTAGTCAAATTTAGAAAAAATATTGTATGTAACACGTTACAAAATGCGTTCATATTGCGGGACCTCGCTCTGCTCGTCTCACGAATATTCATTTGTTACATAAAACAAGACATTTCGTAACTGATTACATAAATAGCTATTTCATATTTTGAAGTAGCTTGAAACTATTCTTGGTGCAAACAATTTTACAACAAGGAGTATAAAGAATTTGGTAGTCTGTAATTGATGGGTTTATTTAAATCTTTTCTCAATCATCTATTTAAGATTCCATCGTTGAGTTGAATACAAGTGTCTCAGCTGCAATTAGCGATGAATTATTAATGTCATTAAAAAATCTAAGTAGAATTTAAATAGCTACTTTTTATTTAGTATAAGTTTAATTTTTTGAAAATCAATTTAGAATTATTCAATATGTGTTTAGTAATTACTTTTTGTTGCTGGAATTTAATTTTGTAAATATTATTTGCAAGTTTGATTTATATCTCATATGAGGGCTTCGTGAAAAACATAATTTATTTTTGTTTAGGAAGCGAATACTAGCTGTGAGAAAAATAGGCTACCATTTTTCCTTCAGACAGATACCTAAATTCTTGTAATCAAGAGGTTGGCTCGTTGGGTCAAATTTGGAGTCTTCCGAGAACGACGACCACAGGAGAAATCAGGTTCAATGTAACTTATTGTCGAGATGGTAAATCGCCGAGGCCAAATCCTAAAATTATCGCACGATGGTCCAAGCACAGGTTAATAAGCTGTGGTCCAAGTCAGAGTGTAATATCTAACTCTGACAATTTTTTTGTGTTTTTACCAGCATATGAGATCGCTTATATTTATGTGAATTTCGATGTCCATGTAAACTTTGGTATATTTCTTTGTAAAGTCTATCGCATTTCTACATTTTAAAAATAAACAAATTTATTTATGTTCTTGTTGCATCTTATTTCTAATCGTTACAACAATTCTCTTTTTACCGAAATTATATATAATTCTGAATTAATCAGTTATTTTTGTCCTTTTGGCATTTTAACCAACTAATACAAAATACAAAATTAAAAATAATACCCGCTTATTTTTATAACCTAGGTCAGTGGTCTGCAAACTCGTTAGTCAACAGAGCCAAATAGCAACAGTAGAAGGATTGAAATTTCTTTTGAGAGCCAAATTTTTTAAAGGTATACTCTATAGGTGTACATTTTTGTGTACTTAATTAGGGTACTGCTAAGCTGGCCTTTGCTAAAAACGTCCTCAATCTGATTGAAATACGTTTGCCGAGGTCGACCCTTTCCAACTCTTTCTTTCCACACTCGTCTTGTAAACTTGTTTCGTCTATCTGTTATCGTTCATCCTCTTTATATAGATTAAGAAAAAAGCATACGAGCCAAGTTATAGGCAATGTGAGTGAACATCCATTACTATATTTTGTGTACAACACGAAAACGTTAAAAAAGCGGTTAATAGAGAGTTGAAATGTTTCTAGTACGTTAACGTAAACGTGAACGTCAACGCACAAAACTAATGTTTACGGTATAGTCCAAAATATGAGTTGAAGTTGTTAAACCACATACTTTGATTTTCTTTTACTATACGGAGAATGGTCGCACTGCGCAGCTTTCTGAGTGCCTTTTAAAAGGAGATAGAAAACTCCGCCATTTTGAACCCTTATTACGGGTTGCCTACATCTTGGCGTAATATTTTTAATAGGTGCGTTTTAATCATCCGCTTCTGCTTCGGAATTGTCAGTTTTCTTCTTTTAATCTGACAGGTTAAAACGACTAAACCGACAATTCCGGAAGCAGAAGCGGATGATTAAAACGCACCTGATATTTTGCTTGTCAGTGTCAGTGAATATTATTTTTGAAGTCACAGTTTATTGCTAAAGAATCAGTTAGCTCACTCGGACCAGTTGAAAGTTCCAAAATAACATCCACTCCAGGGATACAAATTCAGGATACGCAGAAGACTACTGTTTTATTATAGGCGGTTGTCATATATTGTATTATCTGAGTTGCACAGTGTATAAACTGAAACATTGAGATCCAAAGTGCCGACGCAGAGTGAGCGATCTGATTCTTTAGCTGTAAACTGTGTCACAGGGTTCAAAATGGCCGCGCCCTATGTTGGGCGTGTCGGACCTCTCTCTTGCCTCGTATAGTAATCAAAGTATGTGTGTTAAACGCATCGTGACATTTACGTGTCATGACAGATAATGACAATTATTATTAGGATTTCTTCTTTCTCAATTAAAAAGGGGTTATTTTATTTTCGTTACGTGCATACGCCAGAGCCCGCAAGCTTACGTATGTACGTAAACGTAAACGTGAAGGATATTTGAATGCGCATGCGTAGATCTCAATTTTCACGTATACGTTTACGTTCATAGCATCACTTTAACTCTCTAATAACCAAACGTATAAAAATAGTTCAAATGTCGCGGAAAATTACGTAATTTGCAAAACATTTTGTTGACAATGACTAGAAGAATACGTTATAAAATAGTACATATTTTATATACGTATAACTTATCAACAAAATTCTCAACGTTGAATTTTTAACCAATAACATTTTTTTATACCATACAACTTCAAATTTATGTTGAAGAACCAGTGTGTGCTCATTGGGTACCATCTTTTCTGTGCCCTGCGAGCGTGCAAGCTCATACAAAGTAACGATAGCAATGCATGTACTAATACAATATTTTTGTAATTTTTCGATTCTAGAGTTAGGAAATATATGCAAGTGAAAAATAATAACTTAATTTTAAATTAAATCTTAATATTTTTGACCATTAAGTTTACAATCAATGAAAAAGGGTCAATAATGTGGGCCCTTAAAATGCCTTAATTTCTGAGGATACTGTCACAAACTGTGTGCATGTTGGAATACTTAAATGTTCATTTTTTTGAGCACAATGTCTCTGGATTGTTGATTGTGCAATGAAAAAGTTGACTTTTTTATTTTGACTATGCCGATTCGTCATAATTTCGCAAAAGCCTACAAAAATTAAGAAAAAAAAAAAACAAAATTATGCTATACTTATTGTAACAAGTATCGTGTATGTATGTTAATCAAGTGTTTATTGTATACATTCACCGATTTGATTACGATGCTCTTCGACGTTTTACAAATAACTGCCTGCAATTAATACACCG